TTTTTTGCCACTAGCAGCGCAAGTATTCAGAGCGTACCGATACTATTATTATTATTACATTTAAATTAAATATAAAATATTAATTTATTTTTTTATAATAATTTTTATTAAAAAATGGGAAAGTTTGTGCCGTTTATGGTTGCCTTACTGGCCGAAAGGCAGGGGAGAATTTAGGAAAAGTGGCTTTATTAAAAGCACCAAAAGTGAGTAATCTCAAGATAATATTAAAAATTTTATAACAAATTTATTAACAAATAATTGATTATTGCATTTGTGTAGTTTTTAAATAATATTTGAAACATGTTATATTTTTATTTTGTGTGTGTAATATAGAAGTAATTAGTTTTATTTTTTTTCTAAAGAATGTTGAAATGCTCAGTAAATCAATAAAAAAATTAATCACTCTAATTTAAAAAATAATTTAAAATTCTCGATAGCAATATTCCGGATACTCTTAAAACTATAATAATTTGGTTTGTAAATATTAAATATGTTTTATTTGTACTATTAATAAATAATATGTTTGACAATAACTTATTTATTTTTTTTTTTTCATCAAGTATATTTATCGTGATACTCAAATAAATAGGAGCATTTGACAATTTTTAAAAATATTTTTTCTAGTAATTTTTCATAGAGACAATTTTTAATAGTTTTACATGGAAAGGTTAAAAATGAACTATAAACTCAATTTCTTAAAATTTTTCTTCACATAAATCTATTTTTTTTAAACAAAATGGTTTGGTGCCTACTGATTTTTGTATTATGATTTATTAATATCGGATGTTTTTAACTTTGCAGATTATCTCTTAAACTTCTCGATATTGCTGAGTTGAAAACGTTTGAGGTTTCTAAACATTTCCTTAAACTTTTATTTAATTCCACGTTTCTCAAAATATTTTTGAAGTGAAAACTTCTTTAGAATGGGAGTGATCTGAAAAGTAAATAAAYGGWAACGMAGCTRTGWAACRAAGCTATGTAACGAAGCTATGAAACGGCTGCTATACTAAATAATGAAAGAAAAAGAGGCAAACATATAGGATTTAGCCTGCGAGAAAATGAGACGGAATATAGCTATACAGTTTTTCCTATTCTCGGTCTCCTCTTTATGCTATGCTTCGTAGTTATCGCTCCTGGTTGTATATGTGTGTGTTTGAGTGCGACTGCAAACTACAAAGCGTGGACACGTATTCTTTCGATACTCGAAATGTTTGTAGGTAGGAGCGATAGAAGGGTAGAAGAATAAACAGAGATAAGCACGTAGGTATGCGACAAAAGTATAAGGGGTTATATACAGTTAGAATTTTCAAAAAATCGATTTTTTTTTAATTTTATTTTCCTAATGTACATATATTTAAGAATACACACAGAAAATTTCATATCGTTCCGGTGAATATTTTCAAAGTTACAAGCTAATTTGAAAAGGCGTTTCAGAGTGCTTGGAAGTACAAGGTACAAACTTTAAACGCGTTTTTCTC